CCCCCCCCCCCTTTTCACCCAATCACCCATTCCTTGTTCGATTGGTCAGCGGTTCAAAACAGCGACTCTCCATCTACAGACGCGAAACTCGCGAAATTTCATTTACAGACGAACTTGTTTGTTAATGGGAACTGTTTTTAGTTGTAGATAGCTCTCGCTATTGCCTGAGCAAGGCAAATGTCAAAGTTCCAAGAGCTTAAGAGGGAGCTTAGTATCCTGGAAAAAACCTTTGGCCCACGGCACGAGCATTTCCGCGTTGAAGCCAACGGCTTGGACGAAGTGACGTGCCGATTCCTCGCAACAAATGGCGAACATGTAGTCCACTGCAATATCTTTGTGAGTAAACTTTGACTAAATGCTACGATCGATAGAATCGTACATCCTTTAAAGAATATGTTAAAGCTGCTCTAATTTTCTTTATGCCGTTGGTTAAACAGGAATCCTATCCTAACCCACCTCCGATGTGGTTTGCTGAAAGCGAAGATGCGAAAATCGCGCAGATACTCGAATTCTTAAGTAGTATTGAGCCTTCAGCACCCAATTTGGTAAGATGAGTTCACTTGTTCTTTAATTTCGATGAAATTTTCCCGCATAATTTTGAAGAATGGCCTTACGTAAACTGATGTAGTCTTTTTTCTATATGTCAGCTTCTTCGATCAACAAAATACTTGGCGAAGGAGTTGTATAAATGGCAAGACCTTCCTGTACCATCGCACATAGACAACCTTGATCTTGTACAGCTCATACACGTAAGTTCATTTAACTGATGTTTATAACTTTCCAATCGTTTTGGCTCAAGAAGAAGGGATGTCCTTTCATTTCACCCATTGACCACGACAGCACCTAATTTTTCTTTCAGTTTTTAATTAGTTGCAATCATGTCGAGACATCGCATGATTATTCCTGTGGTTACGTCAAATTTTTAAAGGGTATTTATGTTCAGAGGGTCTCAACCGGAAGTGGACCTGTAAGCTGATGATGTCGATGGAGTAAAACGAGGTCCTGTAATAATTAATACAACTAAAGTGTCCTCTAAAAAGTGAAGTGAATGAACCGAGAAAGCTCTCTGTTCCGTTGGAATTATGAGAGCGTTCGGTGGCTGCTAATTAGCATGTATGAAATGTGTTGCTTGTTTACATCTTGGATTTCTTTACCCCTGTTTGACATTGCAACGCGATGCTGCAATGTGATGCTGCTTGTGATTTCCTCTGTCTTCTTAACTACTCACACTAAAAATTTTCCTGAGAAATATTTACATGGTGAAGTTTCTTATCCAATACCAAACCTGGTCTAAATAGAATTGTTGTTCAATTTTTGTACAGTGGAAAACAATCACTCTATCAATCAATGCTGATGCTTTTTGAAGAGAATATTACAAGTACTGTAGTTTCTGCAACATCGACTGAACAATCACCTAAAGCTGCACTTTAAGATTTCACTTGCAGACACCTAACAGACATGTTTGTCTTGGCTGTACACTTAGAAATTAGTTTGTTTCGTAATTTTTTTTTGGATGCAGTGCAATTGGGAATAAATTTATAGTATATCAGACAAAAGCCATGTTCTCGTCAACAAAAAATGTGTTGAATGTGTCATGCTCTCCAAACTAAATTGTTTTGTCTTGACTTTTCAGGAAGATGTTGAGGTAAAGGAGTCAACAACATCCCAAGAAGATGAGGAAAGTGAGGATGAAGGTTTAGAAGAGGTAAAAAATGTTGTGTTTAATTCTGTACATGCACATACACAAGTATAGTGAGTATGTAATCCCTTAGGCAGACTGCATAGGAATCATTGTCTCTTTCATTTTTGGGCTCTTTGGCACAACCTTCTAAAACTACAGAAATTTACAATAACGATATTCTTCATCATGGGAGAATTAGAAAAACCAACTTATACACATGGTTGATACATAGTTTCAGATTCCTGAAATATCTGTAAATTCCACTAAGAAGGTATGCTCAGGAAAAAATATGATTAGGTATTGAAAAATGGGATTAAACCTTCAATTTTTTCTGAGTGGGAACAAATGAGTGAAATCTTTGCAAGATACTCTTCTAACTGAAACTTTCCTAGATTAGAAGATAAGCAAATAAGGGCCCATTCCCAAGGCCATGAAGGAAAACAAGCATCCACCTCAAATGACCATCCCCTTTAACTCCTAACTCTCTTGAATGAGTATGGATACAAGGAAGACCTGTTTCTGTTGCCAGCTTATTTATAACTGTTTAAGCTTCCACTACTGCTTAATCAGGACAGGAGATATCCAGTTATTACTCCATACTGACTAAATATGTCTGCATTATGTTGTTGTAGTTTTTGTTGTTTCTTGTTTTTATTACTTTCAAAAATATTTAGCCAAATTGAAGTTACAATTCATCGATAGGAAAACTTAACAGGCCCCCCCC